GAAAATCTTCTAGTGAAGGTGGCAGTTTTAATACACATTCCACAAATTACCGTTTTATGCCACAATAGAAGGCATTCAGGCTACTGAGCGTGATTGTTATTGATTTAGTCAGAGGCTAAATGGTCAATATAAATAGGTAACGATAGAAAAAATATTTCTTGGCAGCCATGCATGTAAAATACCACACGATTCATGTTCAAAGCCAAACCTGCTTCACCTGAAACACAATTTAATTTTAAATTGTGCATATTCTAGTTTTCTCAATCTCCTGCAAAAAATAGCCCTAAAACATTTCTCAACCATACTGACAGAAAAGCTAATCTGTATGGAACAGCATTCCTCCCGATGAGCATACACATACAGTACCTTGATTCAAACAGAATTAAATATATACTACATTCAAACTATAAAACTAATCCCTGAAATGGGAAAAAGTACACTGTCAAAATATCATCTTGGTGTCTTTTATCAAGTCAACAATCATGTCACCAAAGTTAACAAGCTAGGAAGATGTGCTGCTTTTTTGTTTAAATTCTATATTTGGCCTTCTTAGGATGGTAATGTCTTGAAATTGATTGTATGAACAAACAGCAACAAAAAAACAGCATGTGTTCACAAATAAATCACCATCTCTTCCACTCAGTAAACAAGTTTTGCTAAAAAGGGGCATTATAGATTTGTGTGCAACAAAATGCCGGCTTGTATTTATTGTGCACTGATGTAATTGGGGTGGCTCTGTGGCAAAGGATCTGCGTCTGTGACTGGAAGGTTGCCAGTTCAAATCCCATGGCTGGCAGAGGCATCCTACTCTGTTGGGCCCCTGAGCAAGGCCCTTAACCCCAACTGCTCCAGGGGTGCCCTACAATGGCAGACCCTGTGCTCTGACCCCAAGCTTCTCTCCCTGTCTGTGTCTCCTTGGAGAAAAGCTGGTGTATGCGAAAAGATGAATTCCTAATGCAAGAAATTGTATAGAGCTAATAAAGAAACATTACATTATTATACTCTCCTGCACACCCTTGAAAATGTAAATAAAACTCATTCTGGGGCTTTAGGGAATGTCCTACACCGACACACTGAAGAATCTGCACCATTCTAGTCTTGGGATAGAGATTGACAACAAGAGATACTGATCTAAGTATTTAAAGTCATGAAAAACATTGACAAAGAACAGTGTTTACAGTGGACACAAGTGGAAACTACGTGGCAGTAGATTTAAAGTTAAGAACATGATAATCTTTTTTACCCTTTCCTTAACTGTCAGCAGCTGTATCACCCTGCAACTCACATTGGGCAACCCACTGATGCTCAGCAGGTGTGTGTGTGGCCAGTTCCTGGATGGGAGACCTCCTGGGAAAGCTAAGATGAAGCTAAGAAGGTGGCACTCACCCTGCGATCTGTGTGGGTGCTAAGGCCCAATCTTGTGATAGGGACACTGTATTGTAAAAAAGTGCTGTCCTTCAGATGAGTTAAAACCAAGGTCCTGACACTCTGTTATCATTAAACATCTGGGTGTTTCTCAAAAAGAGTAGGGGTATTAACCTCAAAGTCCTGGCCAACTTTCCCCCTGGTCTTTACCAATCATGGCCACCTAATAATCTCCATCTCTAAATTGGCTCATTACTGTGCTTTGAGTGGAGTATCCAGAAAAGGGCTATGTAATTAATTTATTATTATTATCATCCTCCCAAAGGGCTTTGGTAGCATGGACTGGATACCCATTCATTTGACCTATTTTATTGAAGACAATATCCTGGCTTCTTTCAAGAAAGAGCAGGACGATATGCTTGAATCAATTGGCTACTAACTACCAAATGGCCAAGATAAGCTGAATAGCCTCGTTGTCACGACAGCACGCAACCAGACACAAGCACATAAACGCCTGCACATTCCCACGAGCACTGAATCCCGCAAGCGTCCATGCACTGATTAATTATCCAACCATGTTCCCCGTCCTGCACCGCACTCCCCACTTCCACACTACTTAAGGACTGCTTACTCACTACCCTGTGCTCAACATTGAGTCAACGAGTGGAGTTCTTTCACCCTCGTATCTTTCCTGCACTTCTTCGCTGCACTCTTCCTGACCGTCTGGCTTTATGACCTGAACTGCTTCTTTGACTACGACTTTGGATTCGCCCTTCGTATACAGTAAGTACTGTACACCTGGCTTTCTTTCCCTTGTCCCTCTTTCCCGTGTGTAACCTCGCCTCAAAGATCGCACAGGGCCCTACTTTGCTCTTGTATCCTCCGTTACACTCCTCCAGTTTGCTACCCTTCTTATGTTCTTAATGTCCATGAATCAATAATCTTGAGATGTCTATTAATAGACATACTGATCCTGTTGAGGCTGCAGACCTCTTTAGATCATTTAGGGATTATTCTGCTATAGTAGATGTAGATGGGTAAAATCTGTTACAATACAAACACTGTTAATTGTGTTTGATATACGCTGTCTGAAACAGCTTGAAGCAGTGGATGATGAAAGGCTTCATTTTTTACTTTTGATGTAAATACTGTAATTGTAGAATTGTGATTCACCCTTGAGTGAATTAATCTAATTGAGAAAGGCGTATGTAGGGAAATAAGAAAACACAGAGCCTTTTCAAATCAGAATATCTGAAGGATGAAAGGTAAGGGAAAATATACTGTCGGGCCACAATTAAGAAATGGATAATATGAGTCTAGAAGCTAATGTGCAAGGAGACTGAAATTCCAGTCAAAGTTAAATAAAAATGCCAGACAGCTAATATCACTTGCATATTTAATAAAGACTTGACATCTGGATCATTTATCAACTCCCCAATGGTTTCTGTAACACAGCGGATATAAAAATTATCACAAATTTGTCACAGATTCCCATGACAACTTTTAACAATATTTCAGTTTTCATCTTGGAAACAGTTTTGTAAAAAGCAGCAAAAAATTCAAATAATGAGACTTGTTCTCATATTAAAACTGTTAGGCAATATTACATAAATGCATAAATGGCAAGGAAATCTGCTAAATATACTGAGAGGCTTTGAAAATGCAACAAATGCTATTTTTTAATTTGTGTACCTTTCTAGAATTAGGGAAGAAAGAGGTCATAAAATATATATATATACTGTAAACACTCAGTGTTTGAATAGTACCATCTGGAACCAAACATAAAAAAACATGATTCAACTGAGTAAAGCCAGTATTATTTTATCAAGCATTTGTTTTCCAAGTCAGTCACTTAATATTTTATTTATCCAGCTAAAGCAGTGAAGCAATTACAATTATACTGCATAGATGACTCACCCTGTCATCCATGTGGGGTTCTGTCACCATTACTCAGCTCTTCATGTAGCCAGGCTACTTTCAAGAAGACACCCATTGATATCTCATTTTCAGCCTGATTCAGTCAAGAGAAAGGGGCTCATGAATCTTTTTCATTCATGTTTCAATTACCTTTTGTGTCAAAACCCCTACCTTCAGCTAGCAATTACTGTATTTGACAAGGATGTTACAGAAAAGGAAACAGAGTTTTCCAACACGATAGATACATATGGTTTCTCTAATACACATGTCAGAAATTAAAACTATCAATGGAACATTCTAATGATTAAATCCCTTTAAATTATTTTTACTTTAATAACACGTCTGAATACAGTATACTGTATAGCAAAATCCCTAGGCCTTGGTTTAATATCTTTTGTGAGGGACTGGCCTTCTGTCAGCTCTTTGTATTGTAACATTAGGTTGAGACATTGCAGAAATTGCAAAGTGCTAGTGTAACTCCCTGTGAAGTTTACAGTGCCTCATGTTTACTGTCAAACAGGTCTCCAATGTTTTCCATGTAAGAATTAGCCAGACTCAACTCTAAAAACCTGTCTGCTGTTTCCATGCATGTGCTTTTGAAAGCAACTGGAGGAAATGTATACAGTAACTTATTAAAAGCTTGTGTTTTCTAACTCAAGTACTACTGTATTAAAGAACTGCTTTTTCGTTAAATAAATTGGACTAATTAAGAGGCATACAGTACGTTGTTCAGCTCTTCTAACCACCCACTGAAAGAGCCAACATAATTCATACGTAAAATGAGCAGTCTTTATAGGATATTAATATAATATCACGGCCTGACTCAAAGAATAAAGAGAAGTTTAATTAAACGCTAAGAACTGAGCTTTCAATGCATGGAAACATTGTGTTTGAGTCTATGTTGGTAATCTAATTTTCCATAGATTAAGACCAACTTTTGTTTTCATTGCAGGAAAAATCAATTATAGGAAACAAATTTTAAGTTTGAGGTTTGAGAAACCTATTATCAGACGTTCTATAATATCAACTTCAGTAGCTGAAAGAAGAGTCCAAATAAGGCCAAGGACATACAGGTATTGGAAGTTAACAGTTCACTGATGTTATCAGAAGCCAAATCATTCAAGACCTTAAAGGTGAGCAACTGTTGTTCAAAATCCATTATGAAATAAATAGGGAGTTATTGCAAGGAAGCAACATCAGTTGATATTTTCTCATGTGTTCTAGTTTTAATTAAGATCTGAGCAGCTGGGTTGATCTGAGCTGAAACTTGTTAAGAACGTGTTTGAAAACATCAGTAAACACTGCATTACAATGAACAAGCCTGGATAATGAAAAGGCTTATGTAATGTAGTACAGATCTAGTCTTCCACTGAATTACGAACAGAGTTGTAACGGGTTTGTAGTGAAGGAGACCGTCCCTGGCACGGCGGGAAAGGTACCACCATAGGTTTCCCAGTGGGGGTGAGAAAAAATATAATTGGTATAAGTGTACTAATTACTAAGTAATGTACTACAGTTTATAAGTGACTTTAGGGTGGATGTTAATTTTAATAGTTGTAGTTCTTGTCCTGGGTAGATGTCCTACTGTAAGTAGATGATGTCCTTAGTGGAAACTAAACCCGCTGCCAAATTAGTGGTACGTGCGAGACAGGTGTTAAAAGAGCTCGTTTCCCGCAGATCTTTCTTCTGTCCCGTCCGGGAGTGCTCTCCCGGTAAGAACCAGGGTTATGTTGTGTGTTGATTTGGTTACGCATGTCCGTTATTAATTAAGATTTTTTTTGGTTATGAAGATTATGAAGTGAAAGCGGTAGGCATATGAGGCGGGAGTAATACATTGTTCGTAAGTTTTGTTATGTATGGTGTTTTTGCTTTATGTATTTTGTTTCTTTATGGTTCTTTAGGTTGATTGTTGTAATAAGAAGAAGCTTTGGTTGGACCTGTCTCATATGAGTTTTATTTTCCTGTATAGCGCTTTCCTGCTGGTCCGGGTTACTCGTCTGATCGCAACACCACGCAGAGGAAAGTCGTGGATTGTGGTGGGTTTGCGCCCGCTGCCCTTGCATGAGCTTTTGTGCATCTGACTAGGAGAGATGTGAATGAAGGTGACAAAGATCCCAATCGTGAGAACTTGGGCCGACTTCAGGACCACCTGTAGCCAAGGTATGATTTGGAGAGTCGAACAGCGTAACTTTGGTCTTGTCAAAGTTTACAGTTTTCTGTAAGATGTTTTGTTGCATCCATTTTTAACATAACCTAAACTCTGTGACAAGGCTTTGGTCAAGATTTGTGAAAACGTACATTTCGGTTTTATTAGCACAGAAGTGAAAGCCGATACCTCACCTACAAGGAATCAATCCAATTGAACATACTGTATAGACGATATGAGGAGCTGGACAAAAGAGTATTATGAGACGCCAAATGTGACCTAATTGATTCAATTATTTCTTTGAACCACAAAACCAAGATTTAAACCACAAAAATTAGGGCCAGTAATACTTACAACGCTGTCTCATCTATTCAGCAAGATGGTGTGATCAACAGTATCAAAGCCAGCACTAAGCACTTGTCCAGGAGGAAGATAATAGATAAAAAGAGAAAGCAGACAACAGTGGTTCATTATTTACAATTATCATAATTTAATAGAAGAATAACTTCAGTACCTTTGTGCTGATAAATCAACTTGTAACTAAATAGAATATTTGAAAAAATGGTTAGTTATGTATTTTTAATTACTATGCAAATTGGGATAAGTTTCTGCTTTTTAAACAGATTAATTGTAATTCCAAGTTTAAGGGCAGAGTGAACAAGTCCAGATCTTAATGTTTTGTTGATGATGTGTGAAATAATAGGACAGAGAATTACAAAGTTTGAACATGGCAAAGCAGTGGGAACAGGAATCAAGAAATGTGCAGTGGGTTATATGGTTATATTTTAGTGATCGTTTCAGATACTCCTCTGCTGAGGAGAGAGAGACTGTATGAAACTCTGCAAGGTGAGATGCATTATGTTTGAGACTACATAAATTATCCTTGAAGTGGAATCGAAAGGTACAACCTGAATCAAGATGTTATCAATTTTAGCTTGGGGAAAAAAAAACCAGACAAATAATTGCATTGAATCAAAGACTTGTCAGTCTTTTCCCCTGGTTAGAAATGTCTGTATTTTTTTTCACATAATTAACTTCTTAGTCTCTAAAAGTCCAAAGTGCTGTTCTACCTTTGGTATAATTTGATTAAGCCATACCAAAACTGCTTGTCTATAAAAACAAATTCTCACAATCATGAAAACAAGAATCCTAATTGGAGATATTCGAATGTGAACATCAGGTTTACAAAGTAAGAGTATTGGCAATTATTGGGATTATTTCTTAATGGGGAACTTGGTTCACAAAAATCCTTTGCATCATGAGTTATAAAGAGCAGTTATGAAAAACTATTTTCAATAAGAGCATCCCGAGTTCTCCTTCGTATTTCATTCCATTTGGCACCTGTGCTGTGCATACCTGAGCACTGACTCCACACGCTAATTAAAACCTTCACAAAAGAATTTCTTTAAGACTGCATTTGGGTCAATGTGATGATATTTCAGGGAATAATGCTGCTAAAGCAGTGCTTGGCACACTTATCACTTTTATTCACATGAAGAGGAAGTGCCATAAAACTAAAAAACATGAAGGATCTGTGAGGCAGGTGAAACTGCAGCTGACGGGTATACCCATCCACAAAGAAAGGCTGTGAGGATTGTAATAAAGGGTGAAGTTCAAATCAAGCCTTCGAAACACAAAACGTTTGACAAATTTTTACAAGAAATCTCTTCATACAATACAGCAAAATTCCTATTCGAACAGAAGCTTCTGACAATCCATCATTCATCATTCTCTGAAAATATGGTACTGATCTCTAATGCTTGGAAGAATTGAAATATACATCCTAGTTACTTGTCCTACAACTCTATTGTACTTTTTGCTTTAGAAGGCTTTTAAGTTTCTTTCTCTTTAAATTTATATACTGTAACTTACTGCTGACAAAGTGTACCTTTATTAATTTTTAAGATGCTTTTATGCAAATCAATAAAAGACTCTCCAGCATGGGGACTTCAGCTTCCCCATGCATTAATGTTTTTTTTTCTTTAAGAGTCAACTAAATATACAGTATGTGCAAGATACTGAATATGCTGCCCTGTAGGCACATAAGCTTACCAAATATGTCACTCATGATGCAAAATCCAGCATAGGCATTTTGCAAAGTTCTAGTAAAGTGTGTAAAACATGCTCCCAACACATTCCCAGATCCAGGTTTTCTTCATTTAATGGGGTTAACTACAAATTTAGCTAATCGGCAACATAGGAGTCATTTGCTGTATATACAGTATAAACAGTGTATGTCTCATTCTCCTTACCTAGCAGAATGACCTTCCTAGCATTTTTTTATTTGAGCAACAATTTGATACTTCAGTTTATTTGAAGGATTCACGATGACTTATTGGTCTTACCTTGTATTCCCTGGTTTCCATGTGTAATACAGAATATAGAGGCTCCAAAGCCTTTTTGTGCCTTACACTTTCGTTCACTGCATTTATTCACATACATAAAACAGCAGATGTAGGGTGATTGTTGAATCATAAAATACATCCCCCCTCAGAGAAAGCGAGGATTTTTATAGCTGAGATATGGTTCATGCTTTAAAGTAGACATGGACAACTCCAGGGTTTAAGGTCTACTGGGTCTTCTGGTTTACATTCAACATCTGATTTTCAAAAAATTACAACATTTTGGGGGAAAAAGTTGAATCCCCTATATTTTTTAAGCCTAAAGCAGTTGCTAATTGAAGATCCATGTACAATTTGCCTGTCCTGAAGGACTGAAATAACCTATCCCTGGTTTAAAGATGGGTCAGGTTTACAACTTGTTTTACGAAAATAAAAATGAAACCCCTTAAGAAAATACAATGCCATTCCATTGTAGACTACAGAAACTAAGAAATGTAAGGAAGATTATTATAAGACACAAAATAATTAAGTGGTAAGTATTTAAAGAAATTATATCTAAGAAACAGTGCAGTTTTAATTAATAATACATAAATAAAACATTCATGGTGCAGCAAGTTAAGTGTGCAGTACGTATGTAATACAGTATATATTCTTTACATAACATGAATCCTATTATTTGTATACAGTTCAGTGTAATTAAGATCTATTTAAATTTTAAGAAATGCACAAAGGTCTTGTAAATTAATAAATATATTAACACAGCTTGCATAAAAATAATTAGCATTTTCTTGAAGATTAATTATAACATGCACTTTTCAATGGTTATTAACTTGCAAAATATTAGGAAAAATATGTATGAAAATAGAAAATATTGGCAAAAAGCTGTTGACATTGAACATAGAAGTCACTGAAGATAAAATTTAAAACCTTGAGGAAAATCAATAATACTGCAAAAACTATTTGGTAAACTTTGCTTCTTTCTTTTGTAAAGCGAGCTGTCATCTTATACAAAGGTCTAAAGAACCAACTGGAACATTCTCAAAAAACGTATTGGTGATAAAAATCTGAATCAATTTTGTTATGAGTGCAGAGTTTACTACAGGCCACAACTTAAAATCTTTGCCATGAGACAAGCCATTGGCAGAAAAATAACTGTTAAAACACTCATCCACTGCAAATAACGCACCTTGCATTTTAAGTCACAAAAAGCCTTTCCCTTGAAAGGGTAGTTAACAGAAAATACTATCATATAGAGATGCGGTCCACTGATTTTAGTAAAGATTATTTGTTGTGTATTACTATTTATTCCATTCATTGGAAAAACATTGCTTTTCCTAAAATGTTAACTGCAAAATCAATGATTTCTTCTCACCTGGGACAATCTACAGGACAATGATTTATTTTTAGTGTCATTTGGGCAATATGCAACTTACCCCAAGCAACATTCCATGTTCCATATTTAATTCCATAGGCGCAGTGCTGAATGTGACAAATGGAGTCGATAACAGGGAAAGGCAGCAATAACTACTGCTACATACAGAACCCCATATCTTTGATGTTATTTTCAATAGGGTAAAACATCAAAAGTACATACATGATATAGCTCTAAGATTGAAGGAAAGAGCACAACACTGCTTCACATTCTGTTTCGGAGGGTTAGAACAACCACACAGAATTTGAAGTCATTTGAACTTTTCCCATTTTATCGCTTCATACTTCACTTCTTAAATGTGCTTTGGGTGAATTTTTTTTTTCCTTAGATTTTTTTTTTCTCTCCAAGGTAAGGCATGATTTCAGTTAAAAAAAAAGGTTCTAGAAAGAGTTCTGAAAGCTGACTGTCGGCTAAAGTGGGATGAAGCAAATGTACAGTACAGTATGTTGCACAAAAGCTAAAAAAATTAAACATCAAGCCTGACTTTTCAAATATTAAAAACAAAGTAATGCGACACTAAATAGCCACTCCTGTATAATATCTGGGCATTAACTAAAATAAGACTCTCTGCAGTTTTATTTAACTGGAAAAGCGATCATGACATGAATATGTAGAAACAGCTGCAAAGAATCGTGTGCGATAGGATAAGCAACGAGTAAGAAAGGGGGGAAAAAAGTGACAAGACCAGAGGGGACACAGAATGTGTTCTGTGTCACAATCTAAATGCAAAGGAAGAATAGTAATTCTGCTGAAGACAAAGCATTCTTGCACCAAAGGAAGGTTAATAACCCTGACGCCAAAAGGGAAGATCCAATCATTTTTTAGTCTAAAGAAGTAAAGTATAAACATCTTGTCATTAGGTTTAAGAAGGCCCTTAACCAGATGTCCATCAAATACTGTAACAGTGTCAGAGGAGACTCACATTAGGATGCTCATAACAGTTTTTTTTTCTCTAAAATGTGCTGCAACTAGACCTATTTATTTTCTTCCATTGTCAACCAATTTAATGTCATAGATGATCTTCCCGTTACCTATCGCTGTCTCTAAATGATCTAAAAGAAAACCAATATACAAATCAGAAATTGTTGGATTTTTAGGCTTGAGAGTAAAGTCCCGTTGGCCACTCAATCAGTGCCAGATATAAAAAGGCCCTGAACTGATTCACATTTTGTGGCTGGTCCCTTTCTGGAAGTCAATTTCAAGAACCTTGTTGCAGGTCGCCGAGGTGTCATTTATTGGAGTTAGTTTTACTGTTTTTTCACATTTTATTGTTCACCGGGGCAGACATTTCATTTATTTACCTGGAAACATGGTTTTCTATATCCTAGGTCCTCAATATAATAAAGTTTCATAACATTACATTGTTCATTTAAGAAAATCAGGTCTTTCTGTGTGGATCCAGATACTCCCACAGCAGATTAGTTGTATCTTCAGCTATTTTATCAAGTCACAGTTCTGTATTTTTGAACATTTTCCTCCTTTCTCATTTTGCCCATTCTTAAACTAATCATTTTATTGTTCTCTGAGGCCATAATCTATTGTCTTTTAAAAGTCATTTTCAGTTATGTTAAATATGAAGACAGAGCACAAAGACCTACGCGGCTAGCCTCAATTTGATTTCTGTCTAGTGAAACAATGAAAA